ACTGTCTGGTTCCTGTGTGTTTTACCATTTGGCAACCCAGATGGAGCTTGCTGTACGGTCAGGTATTCTGGTCCAGTGCTGATAGTGACTTCTCGTGATAGGGTGTGACTGAGCTGCAGAAGCAGCTACAGGCTCAGGCTTGGGAGCTACAAGAGGAGCAGGAGCGCCATCGAGAGACAGCAGAGGAACTGCAGAGCGCCGAAGCCAAATGTGGGGAGCTGCAGGCCCAGTTGATGCGGCACTCGCGCCTGCTGCGGGAACGACTGGAGGAGACGGAAGCTGCTGCTCGACGGGTAGAAGGGCTACGGAAGGAGCTGGCCCGTACTGAGAGTGGACGCAAGGAGGTACTTTCTTCTCTGCACATGTACACTCGTGCACACGCACACACGCGCACACATGCATATGCTCCTCACTGGAGTCCTTCCCAAGAGCTTCTGGTTCTGAATGTTAAGAGCTCTGCATTGATTAACACCCTGGACCAGAGGTGTACCTTCTGCCCTTTGGAGTAGAGATTTTCCACTCAACCAATAAAGAAGAATCTTTGTAGCTCAGGATTGAATTGTGGGGTCCTTGGTGCTCTCTGTGTCAGGGTTCCGGCGATTGCCCTAATTAAATCATGAGCCTCCAGCCAAGCTTCAAAAAAAATTCAAAAGATTTATTAGGAGTAACATGCCGGCATTAACCTAAATGGAGCCAACTCTGGCATACGTAATTTACGGTCACCTGTGACCTTGTTTCCCCCCTCCCCCTTGGGTGTGTCATAAATTAGATTCTCCAATTAAGCACGTTCACAGGCTGGATGTCATCAATCACATTCTCCAATGAAGGATTTTTGCATGCAGAAGTTCCAGTAGTCTAGCTACAATCTTTTTAAGATAAGGGTGGAAGGTACTTCTGGTTTTAAACTGCCGTACTGCCGTACTTCCACCCACCCACCTTTATTTATGGCAACTTGAAAACAGGCATAGGAACGTTTTACGAGTTGACACTCTGAGCTTGGCTGTTTTCTTGCTGATGTTTCATTACAACTAGGTGACATCATCATTGTTAAAGGGAGTAGTGTTTGTTCCCTATTTATGTACAAGTCAGACAAACAAGCTAACAGTATACAACAACCACCAGGAACTCTCACCGACAGGGCAACCCGTTAGTATGTAAAAAGAGAGCAAAGATCACTCCCTTCTAGTTCTGATGATGTTACTTAGCTAGGTAATGAAAGGTCTGCGAGAAAACCCTCCAAGCTCAGTGGACAACCGAGGACTCCTGATTTCCACCCTGGGGGGTTTCTCCAGGGGGGTTGGGGAAGATGGGAGCTGTAGTCCAGTCGGGTAGTTGCCAACTGGTGGGCCAGGGACCCCTGGGTGGTCTGCAAGAAAATTTTGGTGGTCCGCAGAGGAATGTCACCCCCAAAGCAATTAATCCAGGCTGTGCGGGAACACAAGGCTGCGCCGCCCACGTGGCCCGCGGGAACACAAGGCTTGCGTCGCTTGCATTGTGAATAACACAAGGTAGTGAGGGGAGGGGGGGAAAGGGCGGAGAGGGGGAAATGTGCCCCACCCGACCCACGCACCTCGCCTGGCCACCAGGCTGCTTCTTTCCGCTTCTTTCTTCTGCTTTTAGCTGCACGCAAGGAAAGCAGCAGAAGTCTTTCTTTCTCTCCCCCAAACTCCGCCAGAAATGAGTCTTTGGGGCTCTGCAAGGCCTCCTGCTCCTAGAGGCTGCGCCGACAAAGACTCAATTCTGGCGGAGTTTGGGGGAGAGAAAGAAAGATTTCTGCTGCTTTCCTTTCATCAAGCCAAAAGTCTCTCTCTCTCTCTCTCCCCCTGAGAACGGAGCTGGAGATCCCGAATAAAGAATGATCAATCAGTAGGAAAACGGTGTGGGGAATTTTCCTGCAGACTTTTGGGGGTTTTTCCCAGGGTCTCTGGTCCGCAGGATTTAAAATTATGAGTTTGGTGGTCCCTGAGGTCCAAAAGGTTGGTGACTCCTGGTCCAGTCCACCGATATAAATATGGATAATGCCAGGTTTACAATGATTTGTTTAGCGATCGTTCGAAGTTACAGCGGCACTGAGAAAAGTGCTTTTGACCATTTCTCACAATTACAGCGATCGCAAACATCTTCATGGTGACGTGATCAAAATTTTTGGACATGTGGCCACTAACTCATATTTATGATGATTGCATTGTCTGGTTGTCCAACCATTTATGATGGTTGCATTGATCCCCTTTGGCAAACAGGTTGCTAAGTTAAGAAGTGCAGTGGTTTACTCAACAACTGTGGCAAGAAAGCCCATAAAATGGGGGAAAATATCACTTTCCTTTCCTTTATTGCCATTGCACCTCGTACAACAAAATTAAATACCATCTTCAGCGTACAATTTATGACTATGAAAATAAACACAAACACCCATCCTTCACATTCTATATACAGTTGAATTGAAAACCCCTGAAATTGCATTCATATTGCACTCTACGGTAGAATTCAACAGAGTTCCTGCCCTGGGATAGAAGCTGTTTTTCAGCCTATTTGTCCTTGTTTTTATTATTATCCTGTACCGGCTGCCAGATGGTAATATTTATGGTAATATGAGGGTGAGGTGGATCTTTAAGGATGTTTTGAACTTTCTTTAGGCAGTGGGAGCTATGAAGCTCTTCCAAAGAGGGGAGAGGGCAACTTAGCAATTGTCTCACTTAGCGACAGAAATGTCAGTGTTCCAGCAAAACTCAGTTCCCATCCCTGAAGGAGATACCCCTGGTGGGGGCCCAGAGGAAGGGCCTTTCTCCGTGGTGGCTCCCTCTCTCTGGAACATCACCCCCCCCCCCAGAGATTAGACTGGCCCCCACTCTGACTCTCTTCCAGAAGGCGCTGAAGACCTGGTTCTGCCAGCGAGCCTGGGGAACCCAGAGCGGGATGGAGCCCATCAAATGGCTTGTATGCTGTCATTGGGGTGGGGGGTGGGAGATTGATTGATTGATTGATTTTCCAGATTTCGTTCTGTTGTACTTTATTAATTTATTTGATTCTTTTTGTTAGTTTTTATTGTTTTCTTTGTTTTAAATAATGTTTTTTTTATATTCTGTAAGCCGCCTCGAGTCACCCTGGGCAAATAGGCGGCAACATAAAGGCGCCTTAGTGGCGCAGTGGTTAGAGTGCAGTACTGCAAGCTACTCCTACTGCAATTTGGCAGATCGAATCCCACCAGGCTCAAGGTTGACTCAGCCTTCCGTCCTTCCAAGGTTGGTAAAATGAGGACCCAGATTGTTGGGGGCAAGAGGCTGACTCCGTAAACCGCTTAGAGAGGGCTGTAAAGCACCACGAAGCGGTATATAAGTCTAAGGGCTATTGCTAATATAAAATCAATCAATCAATCAATCAAACTTAGGCTGACACAATCCAAAACTCCGAGACAGGCATTTCCTCGAAGTTTCTTTTTATTGGAAAAGTTTTTACTGGCACACCTGGGAAAACCTAAATCTGAGAGTTCCGGGTTTTCCTTCAATAATTAAAAATCGCAAATTCACCCCGCGCATCCATCATTCCATCACATGTCCCAATCACCATCCGTCCCAACTTGAGACATCCCTTCATCCAGGTGCAGAAATAACATGACCCTGAATGTAAAGAAAAGTGCTGTTAAGTGTAAACTACATACACTCCATGAGATCCTCCCCCCCCCCTCCCAACTTCCCACGCTCAACGAATGTGGCAGCGTGGAAGCTTCTGGTGCTATTACAGCTTCCAAAGCTGACAAGAAATCTTGGGCTCAGTTGTGGTCGTAAGTCAAGAACCACCTGTAGGTAACTTTTCAGTGGGAAGATAACAGCGTTCCATGTGCCTAGGTATATACTCATGCCAGCCACATGACCATGGAAGAGTCTTCGAACAATGCTGGCTAGGAAACAAAGATGCACACTGCTCCTTAGAGTCGGTCAGGACTGGACAGGGGAAATCTTTACCTTTTTTCCTACCTTAAGACAGGTGGATCACCCAGGTGGAGTCCCCTGCTCAAGGAGGCATCCAGGAGCATCCCAGATTGGGATGCAGGAATAGACAAGCGTTCTGACCCAAACCTGGTTCCAAGAGAGCAAACACAAGACAAAGGCAGCAGCACAATCTTTTAATGTTTCATGTATGGATCCTGTTTCTTCACAGATAAAAGGCTGCTTCCCACTAATTAGCTCTGACAAGAAAGAGCCTTGCCAAGATTTTGCAAGGCTGCCAAAAAACAACAGATAAGAAATAGTTTACCGTATAAGAGCCTTCGAATACCAACTGTAATGTCCACAAGGCTGAGTTTCAAAACGTCTTTGCTTCCTGCAAAGAACATTCTCTTCACAGCTGCCTTTTATCCTCTTGAAGGAGGGGCCATTACCTTGCAGCCTTACTCCCGAGTCGCCCGTGCTGTTGTAGCTGCTCTTTCCTGCGAGCAATCCTGCGTGCACGTGCACTTGGCACAGGCTCCTCGGGAACCTCCTCATTGCTGCTGCCAGCCCGCACAGTCTCTGAAGGCAGCAGTCCACTCCCTCATGGTCCTGGCCCTTCATCTGAGCGCTCGCTCTCCTCAGCCGTCCGTACCTGCTGCCGGCTAACCCCAACAACAAGATGCTGCCCCATAAACCACCTTCCCTACAAAACCCAAGAGAAACCTCTTCTCTTCCCACAGCTGGAGCTCCGGATCGAAAACCTGGTGGGCGAGGTGACCAAGCAGCGAAAGGGACGGGAAAGAGCGGAGCAGCAAATGCGGAAGTTGAAAGAAGAGCTGGAGGAGCTGCGGGTAAGGATGTGCAGACGCCAGAGGACCTCGGTCCTAAACGGCGGCATTAGCCGCCACGCTGCATTGATGCGGGGCTCTCTTTGCAGGCAAAGCCAAGCACGGCCATCTTCAAGCGGTCCAGCTCCAGGAAACGTCCAGAGCCGTGCGGGCCTTGGAAGGAGGAGCTGCAAGCCAAGGGACGGCAGGTCGAGGCTCTGACGGAGGAGGTGGCCCAACTGCAGGAGCAGCTGGAGAAAGCCAGGAGGCAGCGGTGAGCCGCAGAACGAGAGGCTGCGCGAGGCCGGCAAGAGGAGAGAGGGGGCGCCTCGGGGGGGTCCCTCATCCTCATTGCCAACCTTCCCAGCTGACTTTCCATAAAGGGGAAATCAGGATTCCCTTCATGACCATGAAATTGGGCGTGCTCACACGAGGTCTCACTTAACGACCCCATGGTTTAAGAGATGGAAGTTGTGATCAGGCGTCTCCAACTTTTGGCAACTTTAAAGTCTTGGGGACTTCAACTCCCAGAATTCCCCCAGCCAACCACAAGTCTTAAAAGTTTGCCAGAGTTGAAGACCTTGGAGACCCCTGGGGCCGTTGCAGTCCCAAATGGAGGGGCTATTTGTCAAATGAACGGGGTTGTTTTTCTGCCTAGGTGCGAAAATATGGAGCCCTGCAGAGGAAGCCAAGCGGCCACGAACAATAGCGGCGGCTCCCGGCCTTCTTGTGACCAGGTAGACATGCCGCAAATGCCGAGGAATTTTACGGTTTCCCAAATTATTGATCTCCCCTCCCTGCCCCCCCCCCCCCCCCCCCCCTTTTTCCCCAGGAGCATAAAAATGGGGCGTTCACCTGCCACATTGCTCCACAACAACAACAACCCTGTGAGGAAGGCTGGGCTGAGAAAGTCTGATGCAGCATCAGCTGAGCTCTTGGGATGGAGCGTGTTCTGACGCAGCTCCCCAAACAAGACCAACCCTCTGTAGTGAAATCAAAAGATTCCTTTATTCGGAGCGCCGGCAGCCCCGGCAAAACGTTTCTCTCTCACCGCAGGCTGACAAATCCATCCGGCAGGGAGGCGACTAGTTGTCTGCCAGACCTATTTATCTCCACCCCCTGCCTTTGATCCCCACAGCTAGGGTGGGGCCTTCGCTAGCAGCAGTGGCTCTTCTATCCCAAGGGCCAGCCCATAGATTTCTGTTGCTCTCCTCTCCTCTGCCTTCTGTGCATCCACGCGTCAGGCACTCGACTCGGCTGTTCCTCCTCTTCCTCCTCAGCCACCTCCAGACCTGGGGGCTGTTGACTCTCCATCTGAGGGCTGACAGACAACCCAGGCTTCCCCCCCCCCCCCTCCCTCTCTCCCCCCCCCCCTCTCTCTCTCTCTCTCTCAGCTCCATTCCCTCTTCCCCCTCGGAGCTCCCAGGTTGCTTTGATGCTGACCCCAACTCCCACACCTCTTCCTCCTCTGCTGGAGGGGCCGATGGCCGACAAGCCACCGCAGTCTGAAGCGCTGCCTGTCCAGACATTTGGGGGGACGTCTGGGGATGATGGAGACTGCAGTGGCGATGGGGGATAGGTGGCCTTGGGCCTCTTTGAAGTCTGGCTAGTCTGTGATGGGCTGTGAGGTGCAAAGAATCCAGACTGCATGTTAAGAACACTTAGCTATCCCATTTATAAAGTAGTCCTTGACTTATAACAGTTCACTTAGTGACCGTTGGAAGTTGCTCATGGATGGCCCAGGCTCCACTTCTCCCTCTCTCTCTCTCTCTCTCTCTCTCTCTCTGCCAGTTCCATTCCCTCTTCCCCCTCAGAGCTCTGTTTGTTCTGACCCAAACCTGGTTCCAAGGAAACAAACACCAAACAAAGGTAAAAGCAAAACCTTTTAATGATTCTTTACGAATTCTGTTCCTTCCCGGTTAAAAGGCTGTTTCAAACTAATTGATAAGAACGAGCCTTGCCAAGGTGGTGCAAAGGTAGCCAAGAACACTAGATAAAGTTGCCAAGAAATATTTCAAACACAAAGAGTCTCCAAACACCAACCAAGATATTCCAAACGTCCACAAGGCTTGAGTGCAAAAACTACTTTGCTTCCTGCAAAGAACTCCGGTTTCTCAGCTGGCTTTTATATCTTGAGGGAGGGGCCATTACCTTGCAGCCTTACTCCCGAGTCACATGTGCTGCTACAGCTGCTCTTTCCTTCGAGCAGCCCTGCGCACACACACACACTGGGCACAGGCTCCTCGGGGGCCTCTTCGTCGCTGCTGCCAGCCCCCACAATCTCCAAAGCCAGCCCTCCACTCCCTGATCGTCCTGGCCCCATCCCTGCCTCACACGCAGGCCCCTCATCCAAGTCCTCGCTCTCCAAGACCTCAGCCGTCCGCACCTACTGTCGGCGAACCACAACACAGTTGCCTGGATGCTGACCCTGACTCCAATGCCTCCTCCTCCTCCTCCGATTTGTATGCCGGACGGGCCGGCGGCCAACAGGCCACAACAGAGTGGGACTTGAACCCAGGACACCCCACTCCCGCTCTATCCCCTTCCCCACTGTACCCCCAGTGTCTCTTTTAAAGGCTGCGTTTGGCTTCTTTCCTGGTTTTGCAACAGGTGGATTCTCGGGGGAACGACGCCTCGCACCCGGGACCGGGGAGCTGCCCGTCTGAATTCCACAGAGCCGCCTTCACCAACTGGGAGACTCAGATCGCCAACATTTTGAAGTGGTGAGAGAATCCCTCCCGAGTTTTGCATTGGCAAGGTTGCCTCTGAGGATGAGCAGAATGCCTTTCCTTCTAACCCTGAAAGGAGTCCGACCTCTTGTATGGCCTCCCCCCCCGCCACAGCCTGGCGCCCCTCCTGATAGGTTGGGACGAGTCCTCCTTGA